GGCGTAGTGGCGTGCACCTGTAGTGCCAGCTACGTGGGAGGCTGAGGAAGGAGAACTGCTTGAACCTGGTAAGGCAGAGGTTGCAGTGAGCTGAGATCATGCCACTGCACTCCAGCCTGGGCGACAGAGCAAGACTCCGTCTACCCACTCCCCCCAACAAAGAAAAAAAACAAGACAAAAAAAAATCATAGAAACTATTTCACATGATTTTAAAGAATCTCGTAAGACAGCATTTCAAATCCCATTATATTATTCCTACTTACACAAGAGTTTTTTCTTTCCCATGGACATCTAGTGATTTTAGGAAATAGATATAATAATGTGTCTTAGATCTAAAAAAACCCTGTGCATTCTAACTGGAGAAAATAGAAATTGGTTTAATTTTGGGAGTTATCATTAAGTAATTTTGTACAGAACTTAGGTTGAGCCATACTATTCCAGTTGGAATCGTAAAGAAAAAGAAATATCTCATCCTGCTTTGTATCTGAACAATAAGAGCAGCATTTTCAGGACTAGGTCTATGTCTGTTTCAAAGAATGCCTTAGGAAACAGGATGATAGCAAACACAGAATATGGTGGGAAAATAAATTCTTAAAATCAGAATTTAATTGAAATGCAAACATTTCAAAGACTTTTTTTCACATATGTACATGCACACACAAATTGTCTAGTCCACTGTGTATACTACATGCATCTGCATCCTTGTTCAAATCATTAAGCTATTATTTCAGCTGGGAATGTCTCCTTTCCTCACTTCTCTATGTTCTATCCAAAATGCATGACATTCCTTTATTTATCCAAATGTCCTGAATTTCTCCATATAGTATTATTTTGACACTTACATAATCTCTGACAGGTGTATTTTTATGTGTCAGGCTGACATCTCCCTTCTACACTGGAGAACTTATTATCTGATTGAAAAGAAGATGAAACATATAAGCAAATGTTCCATATGAACTTTCTTTTAATATAAAAGGCATAATTACCATGATTGTAAAACTTCTTCACTACTCAATGGCTGTCCGGTCTTGTATTCTTACTCATTATTTCCTCAGCAAAGATACATGTCGTAAGTAGGTATAATTTTTAGAAAATTACTATGAACCTGGCTCTTTCATAAGTGCTTCAAATATATTAACTCATTTAAGCATTACTAAAATCCTAAGAAACTGGTATGTACTACTATTACCCTGTTGGATATTTGAAGAGAATGAGACACAGATATCTCAAATTACTTGTCCAAGATCACAAAGGTGGTAAGTGATGGGATCAGATGGAATCTGGACAATCTTAATAGAGAGCTTCTAAGTTTAGCTACTCAGTCTCATCACCTAAATGTTCAATATATAGCTGTTGAATAAAGCAAAACATGAAATCCCACATAGACCAATTAAATGTCTTTAATGTTGTAAAAGTCTAGTTTTCATTAACATTTACAAATGAAATGGAAAAAAAATTTAGATGTCTACATTTCTGACATCTAAAATTTAGAAAAGTTTTAAGAGGAGAAACATTCTGCTATCTACATAAACATGATTTTCTGAAGGAAAAAAAACTCATGAAACCTATAAAAAGTTTATCTAGTGTGTTAATTTATTATTACCATATTTTAAAAATATTTTCCCTGAAGGTTTTTCAAATTTTGATTTTGAAACCAAGCCTACAGAAAAAACTGAGTACAAATGAACACTCTTATACTATTTACCTATATGTATCAATTAGAACATGTTCTGTACACACAGAACAACACACAAGTACACACACACACACACACACACGCACACATGAAGTTCTTCCTCTCAAACCACTGGAAAACAAGTTGCAGACATTATGACCTTATTTATGATACATTCAGTATGTATCTTCTAAGACCAAGGACATTTTCCTATATAAGCACAAAATGTGGCAGTGATGTAATATTATCTAATATATAGTCAAGGATCTAGTATTACATTTGCTTGTTAAGTCTCTTTAGTCTCCCTTAATCTCTGAAACGGTCTCTTTCCATTCTCTTTACTGTCTTTCTTGACAGTGACATTTTTAAAGAGTCCAGGCCATTGTCTTGTAGAAATGCTCCACAGTGAAGATGTGTCTGAACTTTATGATTAGATTCAGTTAACTGTCTTAGGCAAGAAAGTATACAATGTTTCATACTTCTCATTGCATGCCATTTGGACAGACATTAAGTCATTATTAGTTAGGATGCTACACTGAATCACTCGGTGAGGGTAGATTACCTCTCCTTCTTAAAAGATTAAATAGAATTATTATAAGTACTGATTGGCTGAAAGCGTGATTTTTAGATAAGTCAAATAATATGTTGAATGTGAAAGATAATAATCAATGCAGGTTGCAATATGCTGTTTTTAAGTGTTCTAATATTTCCTCTAATTTTCTATTGGCATTTCCTTTATTTTCATTATTTAAAGATTGATATTTTGCAACTTGGGACACAGTACAATACTGTGAGGTCTTCCCCAAAAGCTCTGATGGAAAGTCAAATACAATACTCTGTTTTGATAAGCAAGCTTTGTGACTTATTTGTCCTACATTTAATGTGGTATTTAAGAATAAGGTCAAAAAGAAAGTGGGAAGTTTCTACAGGTTACACAATTTCAGGATGTTGAGAAAAATATTACTAAATTTGTTTTCAAATTAAGATGTGTTTAAAAAAATAGCCAAAAAATAAACTGGCAAATTCTACCACCCTCATCTCAATTTGAAAGTGCCCAGGAAAAAAAATGAAATATTTCATAAAATAAACACTAAAAATTTTAAGACTATAACTCATAAAGCTTTTTCTATATAATAAAAAATTAATGTTAAGTGCTATATTTTGTGGAGTTTTCCCCTATCATTCATTCTGAGCAAGCACCAATGTATACACAATTAACAAAATTCTTAATAGCAATTATTAGCACATATAAAAATTAGGTTCCACTAACTTATATTAATGACAATAGGATTAACTATAAAACATCTATGGCTAACCCTTTTCTAAATTTAACTGCATTATTTTAAAAAAATTAATGATTTTGGAGGCTATTAATTTTTCAAAATGCTATCATAATCAGTATTTACAAGACTGCTTTATGAATACAGGGCAGCAATATGGCTCTTCCAAAACTACACAAACTAATCATGATTAGAAAACAACTCTGAATAAGGAGCTGTACATACTCAAAAAAAAGCTCCAGTGGCAACCATTACCAAAGATACAATTTGATAACCTTGAATATAATACGTAGTACACACAGATCTGGGAATCATGAATTCTTACCAAGAATAAACAGAAGTTTTGTATTCCTAAGAAACGTAATAACAAATTCCCCTCATCAAGGGAACAGTATGTGCCAGCAGGATTATACTTATTATGTCAAATTCTCACCATAATCCTGAGAGGTAATTTTATTATCTCATGTTATAGATTAAAAAAACTAAGAATCATGGACCAGTTGAATAACTACCATAAACAGCTGGTAAGTACATGATAGAACTGGGACTGGAACTCACATTTGGATCAAACTCACATTATAGTATCAGAGACCATAATCCACAACATCGCTTTGCTTCTCAAGTAAATAAATTTTGACTAAAAGTACATATTCATTATAAAATTTTGAAACATCTAATGAAAGTAACACGTTTTAAACACCAGCTCCAACACGTAATCAAAATGGAAGACTATAACTGTTGGTATGTTTTCAGGTTCCCTATTCTGTTCCATTATTTATTATTGCACCAATGCACCAATAAAATAAAATATTATTTTAACTTTATAAGATGACTCAATATCCAGTTGTATTAGTCTGTTCTCACACTGTTATAAAGAACTGCCCAAGACTGGGTAATTTCTAAAGAGGTTTAATTGACTCACAGTTCCCCAGACATGTGGAACTGTGAGTCAATTAAATAAAGAAAAGAGGTTTAATTGGCTTATAGTTCCACAGGCTCTACAGGACACATGGCTGGGAGGCCTCCAGAAACTTACAATCAGGAAGAAGGGGAAGCAGGCACATCTTAAATGGCTGGACCAGAAGGAAGAGAGACAAGGGGGAGACCTTAGGAAACTTACAATCATGGCAGAAGGAGAAGAGACACATCTTACATGGTGGCAGGCAAGAAAGAAAGAGCAAGTATGTAAAAGAAAACTATCAGACACTTACAATACCACCAGATCTCAAGAGAACTCACTCATTATCACAAGAACAGCCTGAAGGATACTGCCCCCATGATCTAATTACCTCCCACTAGGTCTCTTCTTCAACACGTAGGGATTATGGGGATTTTACAATTCAAGATGAGATTTGGGTTGGGGGAAAAGCCCACCCATGGCACCTGTAAATTAAATTCTCCCATCTTATTTATCTTCAAGATGGTCTTGGCTATTTTTATCCTTTGAATTTCCAAAAACATGTAAATATTAGTTTGTCAATTTACATTCATATATACCCGTTTGTTAGGATTTTACTCAGAATTGCATTGAATTGACAGACTAAAATGGACAATGTTAAGAGTCTTTACAATATTGAGTCTTCTAATAAATAAACATCATTAAAACACACTTCCAATTACATTTTAAGTTCTCACAATTATGTTTTAAATGTTCTTGGGAGAGGCCTTGTTCATAGTTTATTAGACTAAGTTCTCGATATTGGATATAATGACCAAAAGCAATAACATTTTCTGGATAGTAAGGAATTTCTCTCTTCAAGTGTGTAAGAATCAGTAGTTCTAATTTTACCCATTTGAAATTGTTACACTTTAAAACTTTTATCAACTGATTGGTATAAAAAGATACCTCATTGTGGATTACACTTGAATTTCTCTGATTTTTCAAGGGATTATTTATTTTTTATTTATTTTGAGACAGGGTCTCACTGTGACCCAAGCTGGAGTGCAGTGGTAAGATCATACCACACTGCAACCTTGACATCCTGGGCTCAAGCAATACTCCCATCTCAGCCTCCTGAATTGCTGGGAATACAGGCATGTGCCACCATGCCTGGCTAATGTATTTCCCTAATTAATAATGAGGTAGAACAATTTTTCGTTCCTTCAATACATATGTGATTTTCTTCTAAGGTAAATTTCCTGTTGGTAACTTTTGACTATTTTTCTTGTGTGTTGTCTTTTTCATATTGATTTCTAAAATTTAAAAAATATATTACGTATATTCTCTATTGGTTATTTGTGTCATACATATCTTCTCCTACTTAGTGGCTTGCCTTTTATTCTCTTAAAGGTATCTTTTGATAAACAAAGGCTCTTAATTTTAATGTGATACAACTTATTATTCTTTGCCTTTATGCTTTTGTGTCCTTTTCAAGAAATTTTCCACACCCCCAAGATCATACAGATATTCTCCAAAGTTACCTTCCAAAACCTCTGTCATTTTACCCTTCACATTTAGATCCACCTGAAATTGATTTTTGTGTATAGTATAAAACAGAAATTTGATTTCATTTTTTTGTTATGAAAAAATAATTATCTCAGCACCATTTACTGAATAATCAACCACTTCCTTAAGGAAAGGAATGAAGGGTGTGTCTCTGTTCTCTCTGTCCCATTACACTGGCCTACCACTAATAGTGAACTGCTATATTAAAAAAATCACAGAATGTTCAGATATATGGTAGGCTACATCACACTTCTCTTTGTTGTCACTCTTCAAGAGTAGCTTGATTATTCTTGCCTTTTCCATAGAAATTTATGGTAAAGTTTCACAAAAATCTTGTTTTTTGGTTGGAAAGGCATTGATTCTATGGTTCCCTGTAGGGAAAACTGACATTTAAATAATGTTAAAAATTTCAATTTATGAGCAGAGTATATTGGAAAGCTGAGCTTTGCAATAAAAATAATAATAAAAAAATTAACACTGATATGGCTTGGATTTGTGTTCCCTTTGAAATCACATGTTGATTTTAATCCCAAATGTTAGAAGAGCGGCCTAGTGGGACAGATATTCCTCTCACTGTTCTTGTGATAATGGGAGAGATATGGTTGTTTAAAAATGTATAGCACCTCCCCCTTGTCTCTCTTACTTCTGCTTCAGCCATTTAAGATGTGCCTGCTTCTCCTTCTTCCTGATTGTAAGCTTCCTGAGGCCTCCCCAGCCATGTGTCCTGTGGAGCCTGTGGAAACATGAGTAAATTAAACCTCTTTTCTTTATAAGGTACCCAGTTTCAGGTAGTTCTTTATAGCAGAGTGAGAACAAACTAATACGGAAAATTGGTACCAACCACTGGGGCATAGCTATAAAGATACCTCAAAATGTGGAAGCAACTTTGGAACAGGGTAATGCGCAGAGGTTGAAACAGTTTGGAGGGCTCATAAGAATTCAGGAAGGTAAGGGTAAGTTTGTAACTTCCTAGAGACTTGTTTAATGGTTGTGACCTAAATGGTGACAGTGATAAGACAGTGAAGTCCAGACTGGGGAGGTCTCAGATGGAGATGAGGAACTCCTTGGGAACTGGAGTAGAGGTCACTCTTGTGATGCTTTAGCAAAGAGACTAGCAGCATTATACTCCTCCTCTAGGGAAATGTTGAACTTTGAACTTGAGAGAGATGATTTATGGTATCTGGCAGAAGAAATATCTAAGCAGCAAAGCATTCAAGATGTATCCTATCTGCTTCTAACAGCATATGCTTTTATGCGTGAGCAAAGAGATGATCAGCAACTGGAACTTATATTTAAAGGGGAAACAGAATTTGGAAAGTTTGGAAAACGTACAGCCTAATCGTGGCAGAAAAGAGAAACTCATTTTCTAGGCAGGAATTTAAGTTGGCTGTAGAAATTTGCATAAGGGGGGCCGAAAGTTAATAGCCAAGACAATGGGGAAAATGCCTCTAATTTCAGAGACTTTCCAGTAGCTCCTCCCATCACCAGCCCAGAGGCATAAAAGTGAAGAGTGCTTTCCCAGGCCAGGCTCAGGGACCAGCTGCTCTATGCAACCTTGATACTGCTCCCTGTGTCCCAGCCACTCCAGCCATGGAAAAAGGGCCCCAGATACATCTCAGGCCATTGCTCCAGAAGGTGCAAGCTGTAAGCCTTGGCAGCTTCTACCTGGTCTTCAGCCTGTGGGTGTGCAGAGGGCGGTCTAGATTTCAGAGCTTGTATAGGAACACCTGATGTTCAGGCAGGAGTTTGCTGCAGGGGTGAACCCTCATGGAGAACCTCTACTAAGGCAATGCAGAGGTGAAATGTGCGGTTGGAGCCCTTATACAGAGTCTCCATTGGGGAACTGCCTAGCGTAGCTGTGAAAAAAGGGCCACTGTTCTTCAGACCCCAGAATGGTAGGTCCACTGACAGCTTGCAACATGCAAGTGGAAAAGCTACAGGCACTCAACGCCAGCCCTTGAGAGCTGACATGGGAACTAAGCCCTACAGAGCCACAGGTGCAGAACTGCCCAAGCCCTTGGGAGTTCTGCACCTGTAGCTCTGCAGGGCTTGGGAGCCTACTTGTTGCATCAGTATGGCCTGAATGGGAGATACAGAGTCAAAGATTATTTTGGAGCTTTAAGATTTAATGACTGCACTGCTGGGTTTTGGACTTGCATGAGGCCTGTAGCCCCTCTCTTCTCGCTGATTTATCCCTTTTGGAACAAGAGTATTTACCCAATGCTGTATCTCCATTGTATCATGGAAGTAACTAAGTTTATTTTATAGGCTCAGAGGCAGAAGAGACTTGTCTTGTCTCCAATTAGACCTCAGACTGTGGACTTTTAAGTTAATGCCGAGATGAATTAGGATGGGGGGGGGCGGGGGTTTAAGAAGGGATGATTCTATTTTGCACTGTAGGAAGAACATGAGATTTGAGAGAGGGCATGGGCAGAATGATATGGTTTCGTCTGTGTCCCTACCCAAATTGCATGTCAAATTGTAATCCCCAATGTTGGAAGAAGGGCCTGGTGGGAGATGATTGGATCATGAGGGTGTATTTTCCCCTTGCTGTTCTTGTGATAGTGCATGAACTCTCAATGTGATCTAGTTGTTTAACAGTGTGTAGCACCTCCCCCTTGTCTTGCTTCCTTCTGCTCCAGCCATGTAAGATATGCCTGCTTCCCCTTCTGACATGATTGAAATTTTCCTGAGGCCTCACTAGCCACACTTCCTGTAGAGCCTGAAGAACCATAAACCAATTAAAATTCTTTTCTTTATAAATTACCCAGTCTCAGGTATTCTTCATAGTAGTACAAGAAAGGACTAATACAAATACAGTATAAGACTGATATTTTTAACAATAGACTTAAAACTTGTTTAAATCACCAAAAGTAGGGCAATTTTCTTAATAGCTAAAAGTGACTAAAAACTACAGTCAATCTTCCCTAGATGTCACCAAGGGTTAAGGAAAAGAAAATGTGAAATAAGGTGCTTAGGGATAGCGGTAGGAAATAATACTTAGTTACCATTTGTATCATCCTGAGTTAATACCGTTGATTGAATTGGTATATGTGCATCATATGGACAATTCTTCACAGTATAAAATACATGTGTAACCCCTTCCTTAATTAAACCTTATGTAAACTAGCTGGTGTAGGAAAACACTATAATGCATAGATGAGAAATGAAAAAGGAACCAGAACAGAACCTGTATGAGGACAGAAGTAAAAAATTAGCGAAGTAAATGACACATACAAGACATTTAACAGAAATATATAGTAACGGAACACACATCAGTTATAAGCAAACGTATGGACAAAATTCATGAAACAATTAGTCCTATTAAGCAGAGACACTAAAGTATAGAGAAGTTATAATTAAATATATTAACAGATGGTGAAACACAAACTGGCTGGGCTCAAGAGAGTGTAAAAGAAAAATATGACCATCAAAGAAATGGAGAAAGGCATTGATAAAAATACAGTAAATAAAATGGAGGTCAGGACTGTGTAAAGCAAGCAAAATGAAATAGGAACAAAATAAAATAAATTAGTGAGAAAAGGATAGAAACAAGAGAAAAAGTAAATCTAAGATAATACAAATGACATCCCTAAGTTAGAGTAACAAAGTAGTAGCACAGAAAAACAGTTCCAAATCTATTTCAGGGTAATAGCAATAACCTGAAACCAAATTTATCTTCATATTCTCTCAATAAGCCATAAGAAGTACAAATAAAACAATACATGACCACGTCTTCAACATTACTAGGACAAATTAATCAAGAAATAAATGCAATAAGAAGAAAAAAAATCCCAGAAATAAATTACAAAGTACTTAATGTAGAATACATTAATAAAGTGAAAATCTAATAAGGTACACTGAAGAAATAAAGGCAAATAACCAAAAGAATTAAAATGAGAAAAGAAAGAAATAAAAAAAGAAAGTAGAGAAAATGGAAGACAGGCAAAGAAGATCCAACATAAAGACAGTTAGAATCCTTGAGGAAAAAAATAACACAATGAAATTAAATATTTAAAATATAGTCTAAGAAAACTTTCCAGAAATAGAAGAAAACTTAAATCTATACAGTCAAAAGATATGCTGCTGATGTAGAAGCATGTGTAGGCATATTACTATATAAGCCGGAAACTATAGTTCCGGCTTATTATTGAATATCTGGAAAAACTGACCCCAAACAAGAAAGGTCTAAGACACATCCTGGTAAAATTATTAGATCTTAATGACAAAAAAGCATTCTCAGGCCTATAGGCAAAAAGATAAAATTACTAATAAGAGTAAGAAAATTAGGCTAGGGGCCGGGTGTGTGGCTCATGACTATAATCCTAACACTTTGGGAGACTGAGGTAGATCATTTGAGGCTAGGAGTTTGATACCAGCCTAGGCAACACAGTAGGATCTCTGTCTCTAAAAAAAAAAATAATAAAACAAATTAGCCAGGCATGGTGGCACATGCCTGTAGTTCTAGCTACTCAGGAGGCTGCGGCTGGATAATTGACCCAAGGAGATCAAGGCTGTAGTGAAGTATGATCACATCACACTGTACTCCAGCCTGGGTGAGATTCTGTCGAGAAAGGAAACAAAGAAAGGAGAGAGAGAGAGAGAGAGAGAGAGAGAGAGACAGACAGACAGACAGAAAGAAAATTAGGCTGCCTTAGACTTAGAGAAATACATGAAGCAAGACAATACCAGAACATTTTCTCCAAGAAATAAAGCCAAGGATTTTATATGCAGCCAAGCTGTCTTTGTGTAGGACAAAGCATAAAGTAATAGGAAAAAGAGAACACAGAAGATCCTGTACACATATGCCTTTCCTGAGAAATATATTAGAAGATAAGCTTCATCCAAGCATGATTGGGAAAAAACTGAAACACAGGACTGTTGCTGGTAAACCACATTACATTTAATAAGGGAATTATAATTACAAATTAAAAGGATGGAAAGAAGATAGTCTGTAAACACTACATACTGTGACAAAGTAGACATAATACAATTTTAAAACAAAGAAGCGAGAGAAAAATGCAGAATAAAATCACTGTTGTATAGATAATAGGTGAGAATCAAAGTATACCATTTAAAACTGATAGGAGAGTAGAATGTTATAACAAAAAAGAGGATTAAAGCCATCATAAAAAATACACTTAAAAGAAAAGCTAATGGCTAGAAAAGAAATATAAACCTTCCCAAAATGCCAGAATAAAAAATTTAAAAATAGCAAAGAGAATAAACCACATAGAAAAAAATGTACACATACATATTTAGTAATTATAGAATAACATGACAGGTTTGAGGCCAAATATATCACCAGCTGTTGACATGAAAGTATATTCAAATTGCCGCAGGAAGCAAAAGAAAATTATCTGCTGTATGACACAGAGACACTAAAGCAAACCGATTCAAAGTGGCTAAAAGAGAGGGGCAGGGAGAAAAGAAAAGAAAAAAAAAAGTGGCTAAAAGATATAGAAAATGATAAATCAAGCCAGTGGGAACAGTAAGAAAACAGAAGATGCAATCCTAATATAAAGGTACATGAGACTGGGAACGATGGCTCACACCTGTAATCCCAGGAGTGAGGATTTTGGAGGCTGAGGTGAGCTCTGCTTGAGCCCAGGTGTTTGAGTCTAGCCTGGCAACTGGTGAAACCCCATTTTTACAAAAAATACAAAAACTAGTTGGGTATGGTGGTACGTGCTTGTGGTCCCAGCTACTCGGGAAGTTGAGGTGGGAAAATCACTTGAGCCTAGGAGATGGAGGTTGCAGTGGGCAGAGACAGTGCCACTGCACACCAGCCTAGGAGACAGAGTAAGACCCTGTCTCAAAAAAATTTTTTTTTTAAAAAGATACCTATGGAAGAACTTTCTAGAAAAAGCACGTGAAAATATAGTTGGAAAGAGCACAGCATTGACACACAGTAGTTAAAACCAAGGCATATTTGAGTCAAGGCACAGGAATTCAATTTTTTTTTGTAGACCGAGTCTTGCTCTGTTGCCAGGCGCCATGCACCAGGCTGGAGTGCAGTGGCGTGATCTGGGATCACTGCAACCTCCACCTTCCAGGTTCAAGCCATTCTCCTGCCTCACCCTCCCGAGTCTACTCCTGTAGCAGACTACAAGAGTGCGCCATCACGCCCAGCTAATTTTTGTTATTTTCTAGTAGAGACGGGGTTTCACCCTGTTGGCCAGGATGGTCTCATCTCTTGACATGGCGATCTGCCCTCCTCAGCCACCCAAAGTGCTGGGATTACAGGTGTGAGCCACCGTGCCTCCGCCGTAGGAATTCAAAATTTAAAATAAATCTTTTTGTGAGCAATCAAAACAATCAAAGTACTTATAAGGATGGAGAATGGGGCAGAATCATGAATTCTGGCCTCATTAATTCAATAAATGTTTATTACATATATGCTAAATATTAAACACTAACTTCAGAATTCAACACAGAACAAATCAGACAAATCCCTTTACTACTGATAGCTGTATTCTATAGATGGAGACAGAGAGCAAACATATAATCCAAGGAATATATACACCAGGTGACAGAAAAATAAAGCTACATAAAGAACTGAGAGTTACTAACAAAGAATGAAGAAACATATGCGTGTGCTCAGGTTCTTCAAAGTATCATTTAAAGATCTGCTGGGCATGTCTTTAATCCCAGCATAATGGGAGGCCAAGGCAGGAGACTACTTGGGGCCAGAGTTCAAGACTGGCCTGGGCAACAGAACAACACTCTATCTCTACAAAAAAAAATTTTTTTAATTAGCTTGGTGTGATGGCACAGCACATGCCTGTAGTCATTAACTCAAGATGGATTAAAAACTTAAATGTAAGACCTAAAACCATAAAAACCCTTGAAGAAAACCTAGGCAACACCATTCAGGACATAGGTATGGGCAAAGACTTCATGACTAAAACACCGAATGCAATGGCAACAAAAGCCAAAATAGACAAATGGGATATAATTAAACTGAAGAGTTTCTGCACAGCAAAAGAAACTATCATCAGAGTGAACAGGCAACCTACAGAATGGAAGAACATTTTTGCAGTCTATCTATCTGACAAAGGGCTAATATCCAGAATCCACAAAGAGCTTAAACAAATTTACAGGAAAAAACAACCCCAAAAAGTGGACGAAGGATATGAACAGACACTTCTCAAAAGGAGACATTTATGCAGCCAACAAATTAAAAAAAGCTAATCATCACTAGTCATTAGAGAAACGCAAATCAAAACCACAATGAGATACCATCTCATGCCAGTTAGAATGATGATCATTAAAACACCAGGAGACAACAGATGCTGGAGAAGATGTGGAGAAACAGGAACGCTTTTACACTGTTGGTAGGAATGTAAATTAGTTCAACCACTGTGAAAGACAGTGTGGCAATTCCTCAAGGATCTAGAACCAGAAATACCATTTCACCCAGCAATCCCATTACTGGGTATATACCCAAAGGATTATAAATCATTCTATTATAAAGATACATGCACACATATGTTTATTGCGGCACTGTTCACAATAGCAAAGACTTGGAACCAACCCAAATGTCCATCAATGATAGACTGGATAAAGAAAATGTGGCATATATATACCATGGAATACCACGCAGCCATTAAAAGGGTGAGTTTAAGTCATTTGCAGGGACATGGATGAAGCTGGAAACCATCATTCTCAGCAAACTAACACAAGAACAGAAAACCAAACACTGCATGTTCTCACTCTTAAGTAGGAGCTGAACAATGAAAACACATGGACACAGGGAGGGGAACATCACACACCAGGGCCTGTTGGGGGGTGGGGGCCTAGGGGAGGGATAGCATTAGGAGAAATACCTAATGTTGATGATGGGGTGATGGATGCAGCCAACCACTCTGGCCCGTGTATACCTATGTAACAAACCTACATGTTCTGCACATGTACCCCAGAACTTAAAGTAGAATTAAAGAAAAAAAAAATGGAAAGGCCCCCCAAATAACCAAGACAATCTCAAGAAAGAGAAACAAAGATAGAGGTCTCAGAGTTCCTGATTTTAAAACATACTATAAAGCCAGAGCAATTGAAACAGTATAGTACTAGTACAAAGACAGGCATATGGACCAATGAAACAGAAGAGAGATTCACAAAATAAACCCACATATATGTGATAAAATAATTTTCAACAAAGGTGCCAAGGTTACAACATGCATATAGGATAGTTTCTTCAAGAAATGGTGGGGAAAACAGGATATCCACATGCAAAAGAATGCAGTTAGACCTTTATCTTATTGCATATATAAAAATGAACTCAAAATAAATTAAATACTTAAATTTAAAATCTAAAACTTTAGAACCCCTAGAAGAAAACACTGGAGAAAAAAGTTTCATGGCAATGAATTTGATAATGATTTCTTAGAGAAGGCACCAAAAGCACCGGCAACAAAAGGAAGAATAAGACAAATGGGACTACCAAACTTACAAACTTCAAACTTCTGCACAGTAAAGGAAAAAAGAGAGTAAACAGGTAACTTATGAAGTGAGAGAAAATAGTTACGAACCACCTATCTAATAAGGAGGAAATATCCAGAATATATGACAAACTCCACAATACCCCAGCCCCAAAAGAACCTAACTAAAAAATTGGTTAAGGGTTTGAATGACATTTTTCAAAGAAGATATAAAATGGCCAAAAAGTATATGAAAAAACATTCAGCATCACTAATCATTAGGGAAATGCAAATTAAATCCACAATGAGATATCTTATACTCATTAGGATGGCCACTATATAAAAAACAAACAGAAAAATAACAAGTGCTAGTGAGGATGTGGAGAAACTGAAACCCTTGTGCACTGTTGCTGAGAATGTTAGGTGACACAGCCACTATGAAAACACTATGAAGGGTCCTCAAAAAATTTAAAATGCCAGCAACCTCACTTGTGGAAATATATCCAAAATATATGAAAACAAGATGTTGGTGAGATATTTGTACACCCATATTCATCACAGAATTATTCAAAATAGCAAAGAGGTGAAAGCAGTCTAAATGTCTATCAGCAGATGAATGTATCAAGAAAATGTGGCTGGGTGCAGTGGCTCATATCTGTAAAACCAGCACTTCAGGAGACTGAGCAGGCTGATCACCTGAGGCCAGGAGTTCGAGACCAGCCTGGCAAATGCATTGAAACCCTGTCTCTACTAAAAATACAAAAATTAGCCAGGCATGGTTGCATGCACCTGCAGTCCCAGCTACTCAGGAGGCAGAGGCAGGAGAATTGCTCAAACCCAGGAGAGGGAGGTTGCAGTGAGCCGAGATTGCGCCACTGCACTCCAGCCTGGGCGGCAGAGCGAGACTCCATCTAAAAGAAAAGAAAGAAAATGTGGTATATATTCCAAATGGAATATTGCTTGTCCTTAAAAATAAGAGAAGGAGGGCTTGGCAAAGTGGCTCATACCTGTAATCCCAGCACTTTGGGAGGCTGAGGCAGGCGGGTCACAAGTTTAGGAAATTGAGACCATCCTGGCTAACATAGTGAAACCCCATCTCTACTAAAAAAAAATAATAATAATAATAATTAGCTGGGTGTGGCGGCACACGCCTGTAGTCCTACCTACTTGGGAGGCTGAGAGGGGAGAATCACTTTAACTTGGGAGGAGGAAGCTGCAGTGAGCTGAGATCGTGCCAGTGTACTCCAGCCTGGATGACATTGCAAGACTCCATCTCAAAAATTAAAAAGAGAGAGAGAGAGAGAAAGAGAGAAGGAAATCCTGTCACATACTACAAGATGGATGAACCTTGAGGACATTAAGCTAAGGAAGTGAAATAAGCTAGCCATAAAAATCCAGCCACAAACCATGATTCCATTTAAATGAAATATCTAAAATCGTCAAATTCACAGAATCAGAGTGGAATGGTGGTTGCCTTGGGCTGTACGAAAGTAGCAAAAGGAAGTTGCTGTTCAATGGCTATAGAGTTTCTGTTTTGCAAGGTGTTTGTACAAGAAACATACTGTACAACAATGTGCATATAGTTAACATTACTGTACTTTACACTTAAAAATGGTTAAGATGGACTGGGCATGGTGGCTTATGCCTATAATCAAAACATTTTGGGAGACCAAGAAAGGAGGATCACTTGAAGCCAGGAGTTTGAGAACAGCTTGGGCAACATGGCAAAACCCCAGCTCTACAAAAAATTTTAAAAATTAGCTGGGCATAGTGATGCGTGCCTGTTGTTTTAGCTACTTGGCAAGCTGAAGTAGGAGGATCACTGAGCCCCAGGAGTTGAAGGTTACAGTGAGCTATGCTGCACACTACTGTACTCAGGGTGTGCAGGGAGACACTATCCCTAAAAAATAAATAACAAGGTTAAAAAATATTTTTCTCTTGAGACAAGGGCTCACTCTATCACCGAGGCTGGAGTGCAGTGGTGCAATCACAGCTAGTGCAGTGTCGAACTCCTAGGCTCAAGTGATTTTCTCACCTTAGCCTCCTGAATAGCTCAGACTACAGGTGCATGCTACCATGCCTGGCTAATTTTCATATTTTTCTATAAAGACGGGGTTTTGCCACATTGCCCAGGCTGGTCTCAAACTCCTGGGCAAAAGCAATCCTTCAGCCTTGGCCCTCCAGATTGCTGGGATTACAGGTTTGAGCCACCATGTCCAGCCTAAAGTGGGAAATTTTATGGTATGTATTTTTGACCACAAGTATTAAAAAACACAACTAGATCTATCTCTCTCTCTCTCACACACCCTCCTCCCTACAAACACACGCACTCATACACACATACACACACCCCTTGTCTAGGTTACAGTTTGAACAAAACAAAGCAACTGGAAACTTATTACTGAGATGATATTTTAATATGGACTAGATAAAATTGAAATTTTAATACGAACTAAGTATTAGAAGATACTAAGGGATAACTGTTGATAATGTATAAGGACAGGTAATGAGTACACAGGGATTCATTATGCTATTTATTTTTATTCTGTTTTTGTGTGTATGATTAAATGTTTTCTATAACAAAATAGATCTTCAGATTTGGACAGACTTTAGAGATAACCCTATTCATCTTTCAATTTCAGAAGACAACTGTAGGCCCAGAAAGGTTAGTAAACTTGCATATTATATGAATCAGTGGCAAAACTATGCCTAAGAATATTTGAGACCCAGTTTGCCATCTAATGCTCTATCCAGTATATAATACTGACTCATTCACAAGAGGCTCTATTGATGAGCAAAGAGTATATATAATAAATTTTACTGGTTGCAACTAGCTAAAATACTAAATATCATGCTGTTAAAAATTATCATTAAAAACTGACATGACAGCACATCATATCTGAAAGGATCACTAGACATTACTTTATGAAGGTTTGGAGAGCACAAATTTGTTAAAACTATAAAAGTCAAGGAGGTTTTGACTTCCCTGAATTCTTCATCTCAACATCAAAAACAATCTCTAATGGTTGGTCTTAAAAATAAGAATGGCAAAAAAGTTAAGGCAGAGCCTTTGTCTTTATGAAAATAGTGGAGGAAAAAAGGCTCTCTTTAAGAGACAAAATTATACATCTATCTACCTTCCTAAGGGCTTTTTGATACTACTTGCTACAACACCATCTTCTCCCTCTTCCCCAATCAGAATCATTGCTCACCCGGGACCCTTACTGAATGGAAAAGGGCACTTGAGAAGTATAGTTGTACTTTAACGGTGTAATAAAATACAAAAAGTTAAGAGGAGGAAATAGCCATACAGTGTAGTGAGAACTAATGAGGAAATGTGGTATACAGGAAAAGACCTGGGTTTGAGAATTAGCTGTCAGTGACTAATGAGATTTGTGACCTCTACCTAGTTTCATAAAAATGTTCATCAAAATATTTAATAGAAATGAATTGAAATTATAAAATCAACTATAATACAAAAATAACATTTATATTCATTGTGATTCTAAGGCATAAAAAGATCACTTAATGTTTAATATAGAGATTTAAATAATGAAAATTAATATTTTCCTTAAAATTTTTTTTGAAAAAGTAAACAGAGAAAAATGGAGACAAGACTCCCATAATCTGAATTCCTAAAGTGAATAGCTTTACTATTAAATATCAAGTACCATAAAAAAGAAAAGATTTCACTTCATATATTATTCTACTATGAAATTATCTACTAGATAATTGCCATGAAAACTTTTTATTGTAATCCAGCAATGAATGTAGTAAGTCAAACATTTTTATCTTATTCTTTTGAATTCTAAGTATTAATGAGTGAGCAATCTGAACTATGAAATCAAAGACACAAAGAAAGCCCTGGGGTTATAAATAATCTATAATGTCACGTTAACACATGTGGTGGCTTTCTGTACTATCAACTCGGAACAGAGATGTCCAGAAATGACAGTTCATTGTTCTTCATTGCATCAAGTCTATAGTACCCTAGTAACTCCCAGTTTCTTAGATATAGGCTTGCACCAGTAACATTGTGTTAAAAGATTGTTCAAAAGGTAGAGACCACTAAAAGCATCCATGAATTTTGTTTCAATGCTAAAACATACCACTATCTTTTCTTTGAGGTCATTTACCTTCATTGTAGTAGTGTAACAGAAGAAATAATTTTTTAAAAAGAGGGTTATAATTATGCTGCTGGATCAATAACCCATACTTTAAAAGTACAAAACTTTGATTTTTATCTTTTCCTTCTATATTATCCAAAAATATCTAAAATATGTCACTTAAAATACATATATACATGGCAATACAAACATGTATGTATACACTAATTTATCATCATGCCATTCTTGGAAAGATCTGCAATTTCATAAATTTATCTAGATTTGTTAAAGTGGATTGAGATTTTTATTTATTGTATATAAATGCCACCAAATCACGAAATGTCTCAGGTAACAGATATTAAATGAAGACATGACATTTCAGCTAATGAAGCAAAGCCATTTATCTTGAAATTTTCTTGCTACAGAAAGAGAAACCTTTAAAAATGGCCTTAAGTTTGCAAAACTCAGCAACTTTAATCTATCCACTTTCTTTTGACCTTTACACTCAACCTCAAAAAAATGTTCAGCAACATAAATTCGATCTCAAAAGGCTGCTGCAGATCTCATTTTCTGCTGTTTTTCCATTAGGTATTTATGGGACTTATGAGTGCTACAAGGGACTAGTAAAACGCCAGAGTAATCCTGCAGTTCCTGTGTATGAATTCAGCTTTTCCCTTTGAGATGATAACTTTTTCCCAACCCTGGCCAAGGCCTTTTCAGATTCGAGTTTAAAACTAAGACTATAGGTGTAATGTTCTTTTCAAGAGGTAGGATAGGTAAGTAGGGACCGAAGGCAGAGGGAAAGAAAATTAAACAGATTTAGTAGTTTAACTACTGAAACAAAATAATTTTTGAAGCCATTAAGGTAGCTTGTTACACATTTGCACTAATTGAAATCACAGCATGCTTCGACGGGATAGAAACTGAATCCAATGAGTTCTGAAGTTTGAAGATCTCAGCTGTATGCATGCCTTCTCTTAGCTGCACAGGAAACCAGCTGCTTTCATTTATGACATGTATTGAACACATATGCTCCAGTATACCCATGACATAACATTTAACAGTATACTTTCAGATAAGTTTGCCAAGAAGGGGGAAGAGGGATATGAATATATAGTGAGACAAAAAAAATTATACAGTATATGTTCATTTGTTTAAATGTTAGCA